AACTCACTATGTAGACCAGGCTGGCCTTGAACTCACAAAGATCTGCCTGCCTCTGCCTCCCAAGTGCTGGGACTATAGGGCGATTCTGTTTTTAACAGGGGGAGGGGCTGGCCTGGAATTTTACTGACAATTGTACCAGCAGGGACCACAAGGAAAGAGCAAAAAGGCTAAGACGTGCTCCTGAATCTTAGCAGAGGCTCCACCTGTCAGCCACCACCCCAGCCAATTCCCCAGGGGCATGGTCAGGAAACACCATGGATACCAATTATCTATGTATCTATGTACCTTGCAATATTAAGGACTGAACCTAATATTGAGTTCAATGCTAGATAACCAAGCTATGTCCCTAGCCATTCATTCATCGACAAGGTCTTGTTAAATTGCCCAGGTAGCTTTGAACTCACTTTGTAACCCAGGCAAGCTTTGAACTTGCAATCCTCCTGCCTCAGCTTCCCAAGTAGCTGGGATGCAGGCCTACAACCATCAGTTCCAGCTGACACCGTACCTTATTAAGGTTCAGGATGTGGAAGAAGTCCTTGGTACTCTGCTGGGAAAGCTGGGCTCCTTCCTCCACAGTCACACAGTTGTCACATGCCAGGCAGTCGCTGAGAAATACCTTAGCATCTGCCAACTTATGGAATTCTCCCTTCTATGAAAGAAAAAGGTGTTAACACTGCTTCTTTAGGGAAGGTAACTGCACAAACACAATTAAAAAAACTTTCACTCAGCATGGAGACCATGCCAAGATCAGGCCTGTGTACCAGGAGCAGCAGGAGGAAAGTCTTTGCTCTAAGCAGCTCCTGGTGGTGAAGGGATGTGGCCTGGCACAAGGTCCACGCTGGCACTTAGGAGGCATGTGACGACAGTCAGGATGGAAGCAGTACCAGGGTTGTCCCATGTGGGAAGATGACTCGCCTGATGGCAGTCTCCTCTTCCACCACCCTTACTCTCCAGTGCCTGGGACCCAGCCTTTGGCTTCCACATTGCCTGAGCTCACTTGGTCCCATGGCTTCCATAGATACCCAAACTCGCCTCCAGTTACTGCTGGCTTGGGGTTTCCACCTATGTGCAACACAGACTTGCGCTCATAGCTCTGAACTGCTGGGACTCTAGGACCATACCCCCTTGACCCCCTTTGTCCTCCCCTTCCTGACCAGCCTCTGTTCCACACTCTGGCCCTCAGTACCCCCCAGAGCATACTGAAGCACAAACCACATTTCCAGTGCTGGACGCCCTCGACAGCAGACGTTGCGTAAAGTCTACAGCACAAGCCTGTCCTGCTGGGCTCACAGTGTGTCCAGCCACACTGGCCTTGACTATTCTTGAATCCCTCCATTGGACCTGTGCTATGTAAGCTCTGGCTCAGCTACTGGCCCCCACAGGGGGAACATCCTGATACCTGCTTTCATGAAGCCCACCGCCATCCACTGTCCACTCCCTCATCCTTCCCCACTGACCTCAGAGGGAATGGCTATTCATATTTCTTCTCCCTGGCACCTCTAAGAGCCCCAGAGGATGCTTAGGGGCTAGAGGTGTAGCTGAGTGGTAGAGCTTAACTAGCAAGTACGAAGCCCTAAAGGCTGAAAAAAAGCCAGTTATTTCAGCCAATTACAGCTCTGGGGGAGTCTATGCAGTTTATTTTTTCATATTTGTTTGTTTTGTTGACAGGGTTGCCCTGTTGCCCCAATTGGCCTCGAACTCTCTATGTAGACCAGGCTGGTGTCCATCTTACAGGGATCCACCTGCCTCCACCTCCTGAATGATTAAAGGCATGGGCCACCAAGCAGGACAAGTTCCAGACCAGTTGGGGCTACAGGAGACCCCTGTTTCCAAAGAGGGGCTGGAGAGATGGCTCAGCAATTAAAAGTGCTTGTTCCGGGGACTGGAGAGATGGCTCAGTGGTTAAGAACACTGACTGTTCTTGCAGAAGACCCAGGTTCGAATCCCAGCACCCACATGGCAGCTAACAACTGTCTGCAACTCCTCTTCCAGAGTTCAGTTCCCAATATCCTTATCAGGCATCTCACAACCACCTGTAATTCCAATTCCAGGGGATCTGACATGGTCTCTGGCCTCTGCAGGCTACCACACACATGTAGCATACAATCAATCACACACACATACACATAAATAAAAATAATCTTGGGGCTGGAGAGATGGCTCAGGAGTTAAGATTAAAGAACACTGACTGTTATTGCAGAAGACCCAGGTTTGAATCCCAGCACCCACATGGCAGCTAGCAACTATCTGTAACTCCAGTTCTAGGGGATCTGACAGCCTCTTCTGTCTTCCCCAGACACTGCAGGACATAGGTACACTTATGTACATGCAGGCAATACATATGTACATACATATAAAATAAAAATAACAAATTAAAAATTTAAACAAATAATCTAAAAATGTATATATAAAGCCAGGCATGGTGGCACATGCCTTTAATTCCAGCACTTGGGTTACAGAGGCAGGCATATCTCTGTGAGTTCAAGGCCAGCCTGGTCTATAAAGTGAATTCCAGGCGAGCTGGGGCTACAGGGAGACCTTGCCTCAAAGACATGCATATACAGATAGATATAGATCATAGCCTGTAACCCTGTAGGTAGGAGAAAGAAGCAGGCAGAGCTGAGTTCAAAAATCAGCCTGGCTACACAGTGAGTTCAAGGCCAACCAGGACTACATAGTAAGACCCTGTCTCGAGAAAAATAAAATATAGCTCATAAAATGGAAAAAAAAATACAGCTTGTGGGCCACTGAGATGGCTCAGTGAGTAAAAGCATTTGCTACACAAACCTGAGGACCTGAATTTGATCTCCTGATCAACAATGAAAGGAGAGCCAACTTCTAAAATTTGGCTTGGTGGTATACCCCTTTAATCTCAGCACTCGGGAGACAGGAGGGGGATCTCTGTGAGATCCAGGCTAGCCTGCTCTACTCAGTGTTCATCTGGGGCCACAGAGACCCTCAAAAAAACAAAACAAGGCCAGGCGTGGTGGCGCATGACTTTAATCCCAGCACTTGGGAAGCAGGGGCAGGTGGATCTTTGTGAGTTTGAGGCCAGCCTGGTCTACATAGGGAGTTCTAGGATAGCTGGGGCTGCAGGGAGACCCTGTCTCAAAAAGACCAAAAAAAACAAAACAAAATCAAAACCAAAGTTGTCCTGATATCCACAAGCACCATACTCACAGTCATACACACACACACACACACACACACACAAATAATAAAATCTTAATTTTAAAAAATATGGCTTGGGGCTGGAGAGGTGGCTCAGCAGTTAAGAGCACTGACTGCTCTTGCAGAGGACCCGGGTTCAATTCCCAGTACCCACATGGCGGCTACAAGCTGTCCTTAACTCCAGTTCCAGGGGAATCCAAAGCCCTCTTCTGACCTCCACGGCATTGCACGACACAGGTGTACTCCATACATGCAGGCAATTACATACACATAAAAAAAATTTAAATATTAAAAAAAATAAAAAAATATGGCTTGTGGGATTGGAAATACAGCTCAGTGGCAGACACTTGCCTAGCATACACAAAGCCCTAGCACCATAAAAACAAACAAAATGTCCTTACGGACAGCTCTGCCCTTCCAGAGTCCTCTCGATGACAGCTCAGGCTGGTGGCTGTTTGCTCCATGGCCTACTCATCCCAGGATGGTGTTTCACAGGTAAAGATCAGCTGTCCCATGGTACCTAAGAGATCCTTAGAGTTCAACTGAGCCTGTTCCCACTCTGCAGACCAGCCGAGGCCTCTGTTGTGGGCCTCGCTGTAGGCCTCTGTTCACCCTAGTTATAATACAGTACTCTTCCCTTGAGTTTCAGGGTGGAGGCTGGTCTCCTTTCCACCCCTCACCTACTTACCTTCCTTCCTCCTTCCCTTCCTTCCTGTGCTTCCTAACTGCAGGAGCCCTAGTCCCTTAATCTATTCCACCAACCTCACTCAGAGCTACCTGTCAGCCCCTGCCATGGCCACCTCTAGGGCTCCCAAGCTAGCCCGACAGTCCCTGTGCCCCTCTGGCTGTTCCCCAGGCTCTGGAAGCTGTCTCCTAAGTGACCTCCATCGATCCACCTCCTGCTCCCCAGCTTGTGAGTGCTGCTTTATGCAACCTGCCCTACAGCAAAAACCTGAAAAAAAAAAAAAGTGGGGGTGGCCGGAGATGGCTCAGCAGTGAAGAGCACTTACTGTTCTTTCGGAGTACTAAGTTCCATTCCCAGCACCCACAATGGTTGGCACATAACAGGCTGTGTGTAAACACAGCTCCTCGGGCTCAGACACTCTCCACCGACCTTCTCTGGCACCCACACAGGTGTGTGTATATACATACAGATGCACACACATAAACATAAATGAAAAAAAACCACACTCCTGAGGCTTTCCCATTGTACAAGGAGCTTGTACCGCCTAGTGTGCTCATGTTCATCCCGATGTTCCACACTGCTTTGAATTCTTACCTTCAGGGCCCAGTCCACTAACTCTTCTCCAGACACCCATCAGCCTTATTTTATTTTTGAGAAAGGGTCTATGTTGTGCTTACTAAAGGTGTGTACCACTATGTCTGGCTATACTTCATTTTTTTTTTTTTTTTTGGTCTTTTTGAAGCAGGGTCTCCCTGTAGCCCCAGCTGTCCTGGAACTCACTATGTAGACCAGGCTGGCCTTGAACTCACAGAGATCCACCTGCCTCTGCCTCACAAGTGCTGGGACTACAGGTGTGTGCCACCATGCCTGGCTTATACTTAATCTTTTAAAAAATGCACCCACACTAAGCTGCTGGGGTGCTGGCTTTTCCTGTGCTCAAATTTATCTCATCCTTTCCAGGGCCCTGGGAGGGCAGAAACCCAACTCCCTACAACCTTGATAAGGAACAGGGGCCTCAAGAGGATTATGTTTCTTTTATTTTTCGTTGACAAAGTTTCACTGTGTAGCCCAGGAAGGCCTAACTCTTGACCCTCTGCCTCTACTTCCCAGGCATGTGCTAAATCCCAGGGTTCCGCTGGTTGCTGCCTCTTGGGGCCTTGCTGCACCCCAAATTTTAGTCTCCAAAGTGCAGCACTGGTACAAGGGAATCAAATCAATGCTCATCAGACTAAACAGCACGTCAGTACTACAGAACTACTAAACCTAAGAGAAAAACCTGCCAGCCATCCACTATTCTCCACTTATAAAAATCAGGTGTTTTTAAAAATATATATAATGTGGCCAGGTGTGGTGGCACACACCTTCAATCCCAGCACTCAGGAGGTAGAGGCAGGCGGAGCTCTGTGAGTTCAAGGCCAGCCTGGTCTACATAGTGAGTTCCAGGACAGCTGGGGCTACAGGGAGACCCTGTCTCAAAAAAGACCAAAAAAGAAAATAAATAAATAAATAAAATATATATATATATATAAAATATGTGTGTGTGTGTGTGTGTACATATGTACATATGTCTGTGTGAGAGTATGTGTATATGGGCTTGAGCCATAAGTATGTGCTGGTGTGGAGGTCACAGGACAACTTGCCAGAAGTGGTTCTCTCCTTCCTCTATAAGGGCCCCAGGGACCAAACTCAGGTTATCAGACTTGTTGACAATGGCCGTTACCTGCTAGGCTGTCTATCTAGGCTTATAACCAGTTTTGTGTTTGTGGTGCTAGTGATTGCGCTCAGGGCCTTGAGTATGCTATAGAAGCACTCTGTCAGTGACCTTTATCCTCATTGTATAGCTCAGGCTGGCCTCCAACCAGTGATCTTTCTGTCTCAACTTTCCAAATGCTGGGATTGCAGGGATGTGCCACCATGCCTGACTAGCTAGTCATAATATTTTCTAAGGGAAGAATGAGATTAAATTCATCCTTTTCTATGAATTCGAAATATGGTAGTGCTCGAAAAAAAACCCTTTCAGAGCATGAAATGATGTAGGCAGAAACCCCAGTTCAGACTGTAGACCAAATAAAATACAAACCATCACTACTAGCTCAAATAAGAATTAGAGTGGCTAGAAGGATGGCTCAGTGGTTAAGAGCACTGTCTGCTCTTGCAGAGGACTGGGGTTCAGTTCCCAGCACCCACATGGTGGCTAACAACTGTCGGTGACTCCAGTTCCAGGGGACCCAATGCCACCTTCTGATCTCCATGGGCATTGCACACATATGATGCATCTACATACATGCAGGCAAAATATTCATACGTATAAAATAAGAACATTTCAAAGAATTGAATTAGAAACCAGGCATGGTAGTGCACGCCCTTAATCCCAACACTCAGATCCTCCTGCCTCTGCCTCCCATGAGTTCCAAGCCAGCTGGAGCTACAGGGAGATCCTGTCTCAAAAAAGATAAAAAAAATTGAATTAGAAAAAGTTTT